CGGGACTGTTGTCGTGACCGAATCCGTGGAGAACTTTCCTCACTCGTCGGTCTACCAGTTACGCCCACAAGGTGAGTCAACAATATAAATATTTCTGACACAATTTGAGCAGACAAATTTGATACGATTTCTAATTTTAATAACAAATCCGTTTCAGAATTGCGAGAGGCGCTGCAGTGGCTGCTCATAAATAATCCAGGTTACTCGAACGTCACCCTGGACCAGTTTCACGTGGACGGTATCCGGATCCAGGACATCGTGATTCGAGAGGAAGCGGATGTCATTCCAAGTCCTGAGGAAATCACTCGACGACGAGGGCACCGTATCCAGAACACGTACTCCGTCGTTCCAGGAAAGCCGTGGATGTCAACGTTGGAGATGAGTTTTTGCCAGAGCGCTCCGATTTTTGGGGACGCAGCAGGGAACCAGTGCACAGCAATTTGTGCCGTTGCCGCCGCATACGCCGCAGTCAAGCCGCCCAATGACTGGCTTATTCAGGATGGGGACAGGATTCTGACGGAGGGCGACTTCTACAATAATCAATGTCGGAACCGTCTGGCAGGTATCATCGTCAACGTATTTCATTATAATGGAATAAATAAATAAATTTCTTTATTTTGCAGACGCGTACGCGTCACGAGTTATCGCCGACGGACAACAACGCCCAGACGTCTCAAATCATCTCGCCGTGGACGAAGTTCTCGGAGATGTCACCAACTGCTACGGGAAAACTGTCAGAATCGGATTTATTCGCGGGGGGGCCGTAATTTATGGGGCGTTTGACAAATTTAGGCAGGAGGCCACGTCCATTACAAGCAATTCTATATCTGGTGCTGTTTCTGAATTCCTTGGTGGACCATCAAATTATGGACTCCTGACGGCAGGCAAGTTTAAATTAGTTAACAAATTAATATTAAAAGTTGTTAAATTCTAAAAATTCTAAATTGTTGAAGGTGGATACACAATGGCACTCATCCGGACGGAGGAATACATTTTCTACTTCGACAGCCATGCCAGGACCAAGCAAGGTCAAATATCCACCGCTGCTAGACAGAAGGCTGTGGTTCTCAAACTTGATCGAACACACCCGGCCAGCGTCAACCATATCGGTTCGATCGTCAACAAAAATTGTGTGGGTGGGCCAAACTCTGCCGTCGTTACTATTACACCACTCGACGTCACAATTCTTGACGAGCATCAGGTCATCTCAACGCCACCCCCGCCCCCACCTGAACAGCCGCAGAATATTGAGAGACCACCGGAAGCCGCCGCGTTTGGGGAGGAGGCCTTGGAAGATTGTCTCATTCATCCTGTGGACTTCATCGAGCCTCGGTTGGAGTCATTCGCACTTCATCGAACTGCTGCCCCTCCGATTCGAGTCCACGATGAGAATCATTTGGAAGAAAAATGCTTCGTTCAGTGCTTCCCTCATGGGCAATTTGGATTTGATGAAGAACGTGACGATCGTCTTCATTTAACTGCTCATGGATACTTCCAGACCCGAGTGATGTCGGCCGATGCCAGATTTCACAGTAACGAGTACCTCTTCTATGCCCTCTCAAGGTCTGAGGAGTCCATCATCAGGTCGAAGATCAATGTCTGGGGCAATATGAGGTATCAGGATGAACAAAACGATAACGCCCCAGCTGCCGAAAATTTGCATCTTTACATGAGTGCAATAAGGGGATCAAAATCGTATTGGAAGAAGTATACCGGAGATATTATGGCCATGATAACACGACTTGGTCCCCCCACATTCTTTCTCACGGTCTCCTATGACGACATGGGTTCAACGGACGTCCTCAATGCTATGTGGAAGGCGTCACATGCGGCAGACGACCCTCCTCCGGAGAAGATACAAGATCTTCCTTTCGAGATTCGTCGTGACCTACTAAATTTCAATCCTGTTGCTGCCGCTCGTCACTTTAACCTACGAACTCAGGAATTAATCAAATTAATTACTACCGACACCACAATTTTTGGAGGACCCGTTGCAGATTACACATTCCGTGTGGAATTTCAGGATCGTGGCAGTCCACATCTTCACTCACTGATATGGGTGGAGGGTGCCCCTGGTTTTTCCACTCCAGAAGGAATCGCCTTCATTGACCGAAATGTATCATGCGGGCTGCAGCGCTCTGGTATGGAGGACATAGTTCGTCGTTACCAATCTCACAGGGACACACCGACATGCTTCAAAAAGAGTGCATCGTGTAGATTTGGATTTCCCCGTCCACTCGCAGCAGAGACCACGCTGGTTTCAGAAGATGCATGCAAAGGTCGCGGGGCCGTCATTCATCGTGACAAAGGGGAGGAGCGAATTAACAACTACCACCCTGTTCTTCTCAAGCTCCTTCGCTGTAACATGGACATCCAACCAGTCATTGGGGTTGCGGCGGTGGCATTTTATATCGCAAAATACATCGGCAAGAATGAGCCTGAGACGCTTAGGAATGACATTCGGCACACATTACAAACTCTTCGAGACAGTCGGCAACCAGTCCGCGTTCAAATGGAGAAGGTACTTAGTAACTAGTATGAAAAATTGATAAAAATAATGAAACTGAAAATTTTTTCAGGTGTCGCGACTTCTGCTGAGTCGCCGGACAGTGGGATCCCAAGAAGCCGCCTACCGCATGACCAATCTTCCCATGCGACACACTTCGCGTGGGTTCGTCTTCATCCCGACTTACCTCCCAGGCGAACGCATCCGGTTGCTGAAGAAAAATGCTTACTTGGAAAGAGAAGAGGTGCAATTTGCAAGGTATTAACTTTATGTGTGCAAAATAATTAATAACTATTTTATGGAGCAAATCACTTAAAGATGTATCTTCGTTTGCAGTAACATTATAGATAAGTACTGCCATCGTCCGGATGATTTGGAACGCATATCCCTATATGAATTTGCCTCAAAGTATCGCCCGGTCAGAATTCAGCAGCAAGCCGACGATGATTTGGACGAGGGCGAGGAGCAGGCGCAACAGACGCGGGGGCGCCCAGCCGGATCACGCCCTTTCTATCTGAAAGACAGGAGAATGGGAATGTGGAAGGAGAGAGAGAAGTTTGCCATCATCAAGAGTCCCCCATTCCACAGTGAATCTGACGCCGCGAACTTCGTCTACAGTCACTTGCTCCTTTACGTGCCATTTACTGCGGAGAATTTCATGACCGACGGAGAATCTGTTGAAGAAGCCTACGAAAAGCACAAGGGCAGCCTTCGGACCACTGCTGACTTCCCCCTCATTCGACCCGACATGGAACAGGCCCTCGAAACAGCAATTCTTCATGCTGCCGATCTGAACCAGCTTAGCGAACTCGAGGAGGAAGTTATACTTGACCGGGAGGAAAACTTCGCGGACCACCCGGATATTTATAATGCAAGCAATGTTTTGCCAGCTCAAGAAGAGTACGCGATACCTCTACTGGACGAGGTCAGCTTCCAACTTGAAAGGTCCAAGATGAATGGAGACCAAAAAGCCATTTACGACATGGTTGACGAGCAAATCCGGAATCCCAGTCGAGGACAACTCCAACTCTTCATTTCCGGTGCAGGAGGGACGGGAAAATCATTCCTGATCGGCTTGATGTCCAATCTCATTCGCACCAGTGACCACGGCCCAGGACTCGACGGTTTAGTGTTGGCAGCTCCGACAGGAATAGCTGCTCTAAACATAAATGGACAAACCCTGCATCGTACTTTTCACCTTGCTGTGGAGTCTGGATCAGTGCCCCCTTACGCCTCACTTGGGGCACAGATGCTTCAAAAAATGAGGGACAAGTTTCGATACGTTGATTGGGTCATAATGGATGAAGTTTCAATGATCTCTTATGAGGTGTGTAAACGTGAATTTCAAATAATAATATCAATTGCATGCTTTTACAAATAATAATCTAATTTCTTCGCAGGTATTCAAGCAAGTTAGCCGACGGTTAGGGGAATGTTTCGACAATACAGAACCATTTGGTGGGAAAAATGTCATTGTGGTTGGCGACCTATTCCAGCTGGAACCTGTAAACGGAAGTTGCATTTATGATCAGCCGGTGACGTCAGGGGCAGAGGAACATCTTTGGCGAAACTTTGCCTTCCGTGAACTTACAGTCAACATGCGTCAGGGTCTTGACCCCCTCCTGCACATCTGTAACAACCTTCGCGAAGGCAACATAACGACTGACGACCTCCACCTTCTCCGAACTAGGGAGTTCAACGAAGTGACATCCAGCAAAGAGATGAAGGAGAGTTTCAGAAATGCAATTCGTATCTTCCCTACAAGAAGTCAGGCAGCAGAATATAATCGTCATAGTACAAATATTCTGAAAAATGACCCAAATATCTCTGTCTACAAAATCAAGGCCAGGGATACATTCTTCACAGGAACCAAGGCTGGTTCCCGAGCTCCGTTGGCATACAGTTATAGGGACAGCAACCTGTGTGGGGGTTTTCAAGCATCGATTGAATTAGCCGTGGGATCAAGAATCATGGTGATCCGCAATTCTCAGACAAACAGATATCTGGTTAACGGATCGATGCATAGCATATCAGAGGGCCGGAATTTGCCAAATTCGCATTCGCCATCTGTACCAGTCGTCGGGCAAAGTGACCTCTCATTTGCTCCTATTTTCTCCCCGAAATATTAGTTTCAAATAATGGGTACTGCATCTTGTTTTGTACTTTTTCTCTCTTTCTAATTTGCCCATAATATATTATTGAAAAAATAGAGTTTTCAGCGGTTTTACCGCATAGCTTATAAAGTAAAGCAAAGCAAATATCTGCATCATAGTTTATTGCCCTGATGATTGCTTTCATGATTGAGACACGAGTGCAAATCTTTCACTGGGAATATATTTCAGAGGGGTTTTGCTTCAGTTTGTCAATTCGATGTGTTACGTTGTTAGTTCCGTGAAAATAAAAATATTCACACTTGAGTGTAACTGCAACCTCGCCGTAGAACACTTCTGGCAAGAACAACAAGTAAATCCAAATCCCTCCCATACCGAATTTGCGTGAGAAAAGACTATGAATTTCAATTCGAAACCCGAACAAAACCGTAGAGCCAGCCCGTGTCATTCTAGTCTCACATTTTAGCAAGGAGAGCGAGAATAGTCAAGTCAACACATGCAGGACTGATTGGAAGATTTAAGTGTGAACTTGGTGCGTTAGAATGTACGGAAATGGCTCTTTCGGCAGCTTAAAAGTCGAGAGATGGAAAGACACATAGACAAAAACGTGGAAAAAGTATGGGTGGATCTATCTAATCTCTAAAACACAGAAAAAACTGCAGCATCACCAGAGTTAAGTGAACTTTGTGTAGATATGCATTATTATTATTGCCATAAAGCTCTCATCAGTACGAGTACTTCGAATGGCAACTTAAGTGCTAAGTTACGACTTAAACTGGATATCGAATAACTTGTTACAACATTAAGTGCCTCAAATGAATACGTACATATGATGCAGCATCAGAGAATCGCCAGCCAACTACGCAATCTTACTCAACGCTCAGTCAGTAACACCAGTAGTACGAGATTATTATTGCATCTTTGCGTTCGCAATCCACATTTTACTCTGGGTAAGCAACGTTGGAAATCAAAAGTAGTATAAAAAATCTAGATGAAGGATATCGTAAAAAATTAAAACTAGAAAGGTATTTAGCTGTTGGTATCTTACAAATCTCAACATTTGATATCTGTAGTTGACTGGTACTTATCCTTCGTGGATTGTGTTTATGTGTGCGTGTATATGCATATTGTAACTCTTACTCCAATTTTGGCTGGACCATCTTTCATTCAAAAACCACAAATATAACAATTGACAACCCGTGTAGTTAGGCTCGCCACATTACAATGCCGCATTGTTGTACCTACATACGTACTATAATTGAACAGAAGTGTAAGGTTATGGACAATTGGCCGTGCCTTATTGTATAAAATGTGTGCTGGTTACAGAGCAATTTGGATCTTGTCAACGGTCCCACATAGTCAGTGCGAAATGAAAGAAACTATGTATATAAATATGTACAAACCCACCCAACCGGAGATAACTTGGGACACGTGATGGTCACCGGAAATGTGTCATTTTTTCGAGATCAAGATCTGTGTGCGCATTATTGGATACCATCTAGAAAATTACAATTTAGAAAATTGCCCGAGTATCATGTCAACCAAATCTGAACCGTATTAAGCCCATGCAGTTCACAGCGTTTTTTTGGTTGAATGGCCTAACTGAACTATATTAAAGTTACAAACCAAATTTATGTTCGTTTGGGAGAAGTTATTTCTAATAATTAATTAACCATGCAAAACAAATAATTATTTATGACTGAATTTTAAAGTAAATATTTCCATTTTGTAGCATTTTCATACATACTTAGATCGAGGTTTTGGTGCTGCTGATCTGATTGCTCCAACCTTGTGACTTATCACGGTTGAATGGTTTCACCCACTTTGTGGCTATCATTCATCATTTCTCGCTCAGACTGAGGGAGCGGATACCATTGTTGCATGGATGAAGGAATGGAAGTTGATGGGAAACGCTGTGTACTCACTCAGATCGGATCCATGAAAGCAGTGTGGGTTTACTCGAGGAAACAACAAAAGTGAGGATGGCTTGCGTTGCTTTCTCTGATAATGAGATACCCACGACTCTGAGCCTAATGGTTTGAAAATATGGATGCTGGTGATGGGAAAGACTTGCACTCACCATAATGCCGTTGAGGTTATGATGATTACGAGTTATGCAATGAAAACTTTAATCCTAGAAAACTGCAAAGAGAGTCCAATCCAGTTCAACTACACGTGAAGAAAGCATACACATACGAGTGTAGACTTCAAATATGTGTGTAGCAAATAAAAATCAACGTCATTTTGTACCAGTCTCAATTTTATTGCATTCTTCGGAATCTTGGTGGTGCACCAAGGGCAAGGAACCATGTGATTTGATGGCTTCATATGTATGTATGCAGGCACAGATTGAATATACAGATATGGATTCAAATTATAAAAATAAATGCATCTGAAAGTTGATTTTCTTGCAATTCAATAAATAATATAGAAATGTGGATATTATTGCAGCGCATGTTGAAAGACATTCATCATTATTGGATGGATGGGAAAGGAGGAAACGGGGAGGGTATGATCTAGCTGGCTGGATAAATACGCGTATTTATTATATATAAAAGTTTGGGGAAAGTGAAACAGTGGGTCGTTTTTAATTTTGTTTCTTCTGCGTGTGGAGGATGGTAGCTGGATGAGAATGAAGATAATGGTCTGTGAAGAGACTGATGGAGAGAAGGGAGCAGAGGGAGCATTTTGTAAGATGTGAGCTGATCTACAAAGACTTGAAGAATGCCGCTCGCTGTTCTGCTGAGGGTGGAGGAGCCTTCTTCTTTCTGACTCAAGATGCATGTCGAGATAGGCGGGTAGTCCGGAACGGTGGACGGATGGACGGAAAAGGCAGACAGTCAGGGAAAGAGTGCGAAGGCACAGACACCAAGGAATCTCTCCGAAATAAAAGGACGGATGAGTGCATGGAAGAAGGGATAAAAAATAAAACAGGCGCCAGACTGTCGAAATGAGTTATCCGAAAATCCTGGACCCGAATCGGCAAAGACATCGAAACTCAACGCGACCAAGGCTTTTACATTACAGTATTATCACAACCACAAGAAGAAGACGCTTGGTGGGGGAGTGGAAGAGGAGGAAGCCTTCTATCACCCTCCAGACTAAACTAAAATCATGATGAGGTTGTTATATTATCCATGAGAAATTTTGCAGTCCGCAGAACAAATTCGGATTCGGAAGTCGTTTCTGCTCCATCTTACACATCCTCCTTGCTCCTTGTGGCTCAGTTTCCAATTGCGTTTATCTTGCCCAAGACACACAGTCTTATATAATTCGCTCACCAAAATCATCACGCTTTTTCTTCTCGACTAATCAGTAGTGGCAGAGATATTCTTCTTCGCATGTTCATTTGTATCTATTCATTTACCAGTGTACAATTAAGCAAGTAAGGATCATCCCAACCTAATGTTTCTTCAGCTTCATTTCAATCCTCGATGATTTAGGCACAACAACAAACTAGAAATCCTATGCAACAAACACAAACAAATAATAAGGAAGTTGAGATGCACAAAGCAGAAATGTAATGGATTTGCTAGTTTTACGCCCGATGCTTTTCTATTATTCCGTCTTTTAGTGAGAGAGAGAGAAAGCAATGAAAGTGGTGGCGGTTATACGACGCCAAGGAATCCAACCATTATACATTACACGACATGGAACAATATGTATCTTTCATCTTCACATTTGCTACTGCATTCAAATATAGATGTACAATGTGTACAGAAGTTGCTCATGTTTGTATGTGTATGCGTTGTTGAGTAACCGACCGAAGCTCTATTTACTCCCACTTTTCCCAAGTTTAGTGGTGGCTCTCTCCCTCACTCTCTGCTCTTTTGGATGTATTTCGACTTTCTCTTATTTCTTTTGTGTTTCCCTGATTTCCCCGATTTCCATCATGCTTTCTGCTTGTCATAAAACCACCAAGTAGACAATAATGATGTTGAGTTGTGGATGTAGCACATGAAGAAGTTTAAGGAATGAAGGTATGCAACCGGAACAAATGTGCAGCACAAGTGAATGCAGCAAGAGTGGTTCAGATGTTGGAGAAATGTGTAAGATGAGGAAATGGAAGATTCATTTTAATCCTTCCCTCGTCATACAGTCAGCCAAACCCTCATTGTAAAAATGAGCTTTCACTCTGCAAATAATAATAAGCCTGTTATAATCGGTTGACCCATTAGATTACACTGTGCATAGCACCAGCACCGCAGACTTACTACTCATACATCATCTTGCATTTGTATATAGCAGACGCGTATAAAATGAGTGTCGTACTTATGAAGACACTTTTTGTGAACTCTTCTTCTTTGTCATTAAGAAATGTATGATAATGAATGCGACTTCCTTTGCATAATAACTGTTTCTTGAATTTTCTTCTTTATTCAGCCAAGCGAATTTAGAACCCAACACCCCCATGATTTATCTACGATTTCACAGAGCGTGGACCAGGGTAATTTTTCATTCCATTCAAACACAAGAAAAGTGACTAGAACAAATAGGACGGCGTCGTGGTGCAGGTTCAGTTTCTTGACCACTTTTCATCTTTCTCCATGAACAACTGAATGAGATGCGTTCTTGCAGCTTCCACAGAGCGAGGCTAAAAATCTGAGATTTAGATTATCTCCAAATGCAGATTACTTTCTTTCATTTCTGTGTGAACGGAGAATGTGAAAGGTGGACGAGTTGGTGGAGCAGAAAACATCATAGTCCATCATCCATCTTATTCCTCCTCTCTCTCTCACTTCTGATCCTGACTTGAGTCTCTCTCACTCTCCTACCCACACCGTACACCGGACTCGCTGATGATCCCAAATACTCTCCGCCTAATGCGAGTAATATGATAAAATTTCCCTTCGTTGTCAGCAATGAAAGTCGATTGTCAATTGCATGACCGTCAGCTCGCAAATCCCGACCAACAACACATGGGAACTCACACATGGGAAGAAGAAATTGAAAGTATTTTCAGGGAGCCAACTGCAGCGTCTTCTTCCCGCATTGAACTCTGGGAGAAAGTTGGATTTAGATTAAGGTTCGGATTTAGATTGGGATCGACTGTCGAATTGAAGAAGAGTAGAAAAGGGAGGGGACACACATGCGGGACGAGATAATTAATCAATCCATTGATAGTGTGTGAGATGCGGATGTCATCTCAGGCCGAGAACGACGATCCTCTCTGTTCTTTTCCCATCTTCTCCTGAATGAATAAGCACCACCAAATCGTATACCGACCATATAACCACTACCAACATACGGATAGCTGTGCCCCCAACAAGACGACGACGAGAGATGATGATCATCATCACAAGGGGAGAAAGGCAACAGTAGTGGCAGCAACGACTTTTTCTTCACATGCACTCTGCTGGTGGCTCCTCAACGTAGTGCGGATTACGTGTATTTACATGACCACTTTCTCCCCAGGAAAACAATTGATTTTTATTTTAAATGATATTTTGTCAGTGCACATTGTCATGTGTATTTTAAATCCGTACTGAGAGCATATGTACATATGTGCAGCATTTTCTACTATTCATATAGATTGGCCAAAGCATGGACATGATAAATGCAAGGATTTCTCAGCGACTGTTTTGAAGTATTGTCCCTGACGAAGTATTTTGTGAGTCTCGTCCGTGGGGGAGGGTGTCGTGCAATGAATGGTGTGTTCTTCTGAAGCCTGGATGGACAGGCCAAAACTGAGTTGAATGAGGAAAGATGGATGGTTGATTCTCGGCTCTTATAAGCCATGCAGTATCAGAGGGAAAGTAGAAATGTACACGTAAGCAAGTCGGCGGATGGGAGTTGCTTGATGTTGATGTGAGACGTTGTTGGGAGAAGAAGAAGAATTGTCCCTGGCACTGGTGATTGATCTCACAAGATCGATGACTCGCTAATGTCTCATTGGTTCAAATGGTCATTTTCGCTCGTGTCGCAGCCAGTCTTTCACTCTCGCTTACATCTGCTCTAGATTGGTTTCAGAAATCTGCTGAAATTCAAAGCAGATAAAGTTATAAATGGGAAAAGGTATGTATAAAAGTCTCCGTACAAATCTCTTTCCGAACAAATGGATGAGACTGAACAATGTTCGACACTGAAAAAGTTTAAGGGAAACCATCAAGAGTTTTGTGCATGCGGAGTTGAACAAATTCGTCTACGATACTTCAAGGGCAATTTGAGTCAGCTCACGTTATAAAAACATGATTTATGCTACCGTGTTTCCACCTGAGTTTTTCCAATTAGTCACTTTTGTAACGGATGTAGCTCATATTATTATCATCATCATGAACTAAACAAATATTCACACAATAAGGGCTTCTGATTCAAATAACGCCACATTATATAATCAACTTGCATAAAAATATATTTCAGAAATAAGTTCTACATACATACTGAAGTACATAAGTACTTACACGAAAAATTCATGTCATAAAAATTCTTTTAACACAACTTACTCAGTCGTTTACTGCATTGGACCAAATTAATACAAAACTGTGATTTCATTGCCAATTTCAACTGACGAAGTCTGCAAAAGGAACAATAATTGAATTCCACTTTAAAACTCTAGTACAAATTCCATGAAAAGGTAATAAAAATGGATTACAGCTGCAAATTAGTCTTACAGGTTTTAACATAAAATTTTCCATGTGACTGGGACCATTCTCTTTGTACTGCGTCTCTTCTTCTTGGTTTATTATTTTCAGGAAACGATCTTGAGCGAGGTGTTGTTTTGGAACAACAGTAACACGAACGGGTAATAATGATTGCGACCATAAAGCTACAAGTTTAATGACTTGCCAACAAATTCAAGCATTTTAATTTGCACTTGCTTCGTCAAAATAAGTTTAAGTTAACTTTTCTCGAGGTTTCAATTTCCTCTTCTTTGTTGCCTTTGTAATTTTTTAATTACAGTGAATATGAAAAAAAAAATATTTAATGAAGATTACAAGTTGATCCATGTTTAAAGCAAATATATTTTTGTAATCATTCCTGCCGACAATTAATCATATTAATCCTTTCGTTTTATTTCACTAGCAAAAAAAAACTCTAAATATTCCTCGAATTACTTAAGTAGCATCAAACTTAGCATATGTTTCAAATCAACATAATGCATCGAAAAGATTTCGGTAAACAAAAAAGCGCTTTCTCATATCTTTAGTAATTCCCCGTTATAGAGGCGGAATAAGAGAGGCAGACGGAGAATAAGGCAGTGCACGCTAACTCCTCTCGAGCTCATTTTGTATCGCGTACATATAATAAT